TGTTTGAGTTCGATAATACATAATAGAATTTCAATTGTTTTTTTTTTTTTTTTTGTCTTATTATTTAATTTTTATATATTTATCTTTTTTTTTTTCTTTTTGTGTGTGATAGCGTGTGTGTACGTGTGTACGTGTGTGCACTGAAATACTTCTCTGAATAATTTACAGTAGTAAAAAATATTTAACGCCATAATATACTTAAAATTTATACTTAGGGTAATAAACGTGTTTGTTATCTGGCATTATTTGTTTATGACTATTTTATAATTAGTTTTTTATTTATTTATTATTATTATTATTATTATTATTTTAGTACATTTTTTATTTAATTTATTTATTTTTTTTAAAAACTATATTGTTGTTTTTCAAAGTATTTGAACCATTTTATTTTTCTTACATTTCCGCAGGCAAATACTAGAGTTAATAATGTTGGAAAAGGATTTAATATCGTAAGTATCACACTTACGTGATTTTTATAAACGACTTTAAAATTTATGGTTTGTTAATAAATACTTCTTTTTTTTTTTCTTCTTCTAATTTTTTCGGTTACAGTGTGATAGCGGCAATGATGAAAATAAGGTGAGTAATTATTCGTATAAGCACACTTATAATATATTATAATATATATACTCTGCGCCATAATTACGAAACAATACAGAATTTTTAAATATTTATTTATCTAAGGCTTGAAATGAGTAAAATTTATTATGATAATATCTTGAAAAGTTAATCAAAACTGGGGAGACTATGTTTCCTGCTAAGTGATAAAACACCTCTTTTAATATAGTTACATAATAAGCCTTATATTTCGCCGGTAAAAGTTACTTCTTCGCAAATGCGTTAGAGAGTGTACTTTGGCTGTACCTGCAGCGGGTGCCTAGTCGGTAAAGTCGGTAACCCATTAGGCTGTAATCACCTCCTTCCTGTTTCTCTCTCTCTCTCTCTCTCTCTCTTGCTGTCTCTTTCTTTCTCTCTCTCTCTCTCTCTCTCTCTCTCTCTCTGTCTCTCTCTCTTTCTCTCTCTCTCTCTCTCTCTCTCTCTCTCTCTCTTTCTCTCTCTCTAACCACTTCCCGTTCTCTCTCGTAACTTAATGCTTTATAAGACTACACAAGATACAAAGATTCTTTATCCAATCGTTTCCAATGGAATGAAATGTCAGAAGTTAATCCGAGATAATAAGTTTTTTTTTTTTTTGTAGAATGACAAAATTACAGTTGAGAGTGCCATGGGCGGGATACTTTTGTGAATAATAGTGGCGCGAATGAGGTGACGTTGAAATCAGGAAATGAGGCTTCTGGCTCGGTGAGATGGTGTTTGAAAAATGCTATTCTAACATGTGTCAGTTCGATTAATGACCGATGATCAGTTATAGAAAATATAGAAAATATTAGTAAACGGAAAATAAAAATTGAAAGGTGTTGTTTGGGGTGTAGTCCAAATTTACTCCTACAGCCAGTATCGCTCGCCTTATATCCCTTGTGTTCCCTTAAAAATGAAAAATGATGAATTTTTGTGATTGAATGGTGGTGGGAAGGGGGCGAAAGCACACTACTCTAAATAACTACACCATTGCGGATAACTAAGTAAAGGGTAAGCTCTCCCATTACGAATCCACCAAAGCACGCCAAACTGGTTCAAATATTTCGATTGTTCGTAAACGTTTGCACAACGGGCCCACTTGTCCTCTTTGCATATCGCATAAGAACATCGAGACTTTGTTAAGGTCTGCATTCATTTTTTGCTTTTTGTCGAGCCACTGAAATAATAAAATCTTCTCACGCGTTATTATTTCATTTACAAGGATTCGAAACGGTTTGCTGTAAGTCTACAGTTGTTTTATGCTGTCTAAGATCAGATATAAGAAATTTTGCTCGCAATTTGAACTGCTTCACTCTTTCGATTGCAATGCGTTGCAAACTAATTTCAGAGAAAACTATTGCGTATAAAAACTTCTCACGATACAATCGATAAATCGTTGTTGCGAGATATTAATGTATTAGTTATGTTTAATTTATTGGGCCATGATTGGATAATAATTTCGGATATGTTAAATGTAATAAAGTAGACTGAATTGGAAAACTTGGAAAATAGCAACGAAACTTGAACATTACGTGAAGAACTGTACGTGGATATGATCAAATAAGAGGAAACGGATCGTTTTTATTTTATTTTATTTATTCAACTTTTCTATGCCTGTAACTAGGAGAATGGATGTGTAGTAAGGTGCTCCTATTGCTTATAGTGTGTGAAAATTAACATATTTATATATATATTTATTCCAATCATGGCCCATTTATATATATATATATTCATAAGTGTAGCTATTAATGGCATGTGGAAGGCTACAAGAACACAATCTAAATGTCCGTAGCTAACGTACAATGTTTCATACGTTAATGAGAATTTCATGTTCTAGTGCACTCTAGCACAGTTTAGGGTCATCTATCTCTTTAATTTTTTCGTTGCTAAAGCGGTGATCGGGACAACTAGTAAATGCTAACACAGTGTACATTAATTAGAAGCTTTAATTTCTAGATTTTTTTCATACTTTAATTTTTGACCTTCTTGACCGTTACTATGATGTCTTGAAATGCAGTTAGAGTCAGACAAGTAATTGTATACAGGTTGTGCTACGACGGACGAACGCACGATTATTTCGATTTAAGATGAAATTAATGACCGAAATGTATTACAATTCATATATTTACACTTACGATATTTTGCCGTAATTATAAGCAAACGTTTCTCACAATTAAATTTTCATAAAAGTGTATATGCTGGGCAGGGTTGATCAGGCGATCATAGGGTGAAGACATTTATGTTTTGTATGTGGACATGGTAAGTGTTTTTAATGTTCAATGTCTAGTAGAAGTGTCTGAGATTCTTATCAGCATCAACTCGTCATGATATTGGTATGAAAAGATGTAAACATCTGTGGGTACAATAGACAGTTACTGGATGCAGAAAGAATAGATAGCATACGGTTTGAGTGCAAGTGCGTCCGATCGGATATTGTTAATAAAATGAACCCCTCTAACCGTAAATCATAAATAAGGATAAGTGAATAGTCTGTTACGAGGACAAGAGCTCCGCCGTCTATGGTAAAGCTCTCAATGATGGCTCGGAAAGTTATCCTTTGCAACCACGCGTTTGCTGTCATTGTATTTGCCAACAAACAAAAAAAAGGGATAACATTTCTCATACCAGCAACAACTAACCGTCGAGTACATAACAAACGCTTAGACGTTGGGAGATGATTTTTGCGGGAATACATATTGCATAAATCCGGACTAACACAATCAGTCTATTGTTTATTTCAGTCATTGCAAAGCCTTCCGGATGCTAATAAACTTGTGTTTTCGTTCCCGCAGGCCTATAAAATCTATGATAACTAAAAAAGGTGATCTTGTGTGCTACCGCCAAAATGGCTGGAAGCCATCCAATACTCTTGCATCTTAAATTTTGTTCTTTATCCGTTCAACATATTCTACACTTAATGTTAGCTTACTATTTTTAAAAATAAGTCTTTATATAGTTTTATAGCTTACACCACTGGTAGTGAGGATCTAATAATTTGCCGCGTATGTATGCAACAACCTTGACAAAAACTTAAGATAAAATTAACGTATTTATTAACTGTGCTAAGGTCAGACGAATATTTTATTGTAGGTTTTATTAATCGGATCGCCTGACCCACATAAAGAATCTCGCGATAGGTGAGCCTTTGCGTGTTAACAACTTCTATAATTTGTGTACTCTGTAATCAAAATAAATGAGGAGTAACGACATCCTTGGCAAAAATATTAAATTTACTGAATTCGGATCATGTCCGTTCACGTTTTGAGCTCGCTGCCGTATAAGCGTTACCATCAAAAGCAAGCTTTTATTAGGTATACAAATCGAAAATGAGATTGTGACACTGCTACCATATGTCTTTTGTTGTTTGTCCTCGCATTGAAAACTTCGTGGCTCCGAGGAGACCTGATCATCGAATTAGTTTCGCATAACTACAACTTTGCCGTACCTCTACTCGCCTAAATATGACTGCATCGATTTGGACCAATGATAATTTGACGAAAACAAGATCGGATAATGCGCCGCAATCGTAAGATGTTCCACGCCTAAGTTAAAGATTGATTTCTGGGCTGTTTTTGCTCGAGACAGATGGACGTGTACAAATTTTATGATTTTCAAGATGAAAATTTTTTGCACAAAATCTCGTAAATCACTTTTCACTTGCCTCATACCTTAATGCATTTTCACTTCAAGACAATGGAATTGTTTCCGTGGCTTTAGCTGGTTCTTTTTTTCTCAGTGCTGTAAATGACATAAATATTCTTTTCACACTTTAATATACACTAAACGGCAGTTTGTAAACAATCAAAACTTATACCGTACAAGCATCAATCAATATCTGAGCTATGTATGCCAAAAGTGTCAAAAAAAAAAAAAACAAAAAATTAACCCTTCATGTGCGTTTTATGAAGAAGCAACCAATTCCAATTTACATAACTTATTTGTACATCATCGAATACCTGAGAGAAAAACATAATTTTTTTTTTGCATTTTATGATGGTAGGTGTACTTTGCATCACTAGCCACTGCCAGCCACACCTTTCATATATACGATTTAGATTAACGAACAATTAATTAGGTTTCGGCCGATGAGCAAGCAATAGTGAATTTATTACTCTCTTGGCACAAGAAAATATCAACTGTGCACACTTCCTCTAAACGACGCAATCATTTGAAAATCATCGAAAATTCGGCCTAAGATCGCCAGCCAGCATAGACATAAAAAAAAAAAAAATTAACAATTTTTTCGATCTGTAATTTATATGAGTAGTGAATGTAAAAAGTAATCAATAAAACCATTTCTGGGCAAAAAGCCTGCATATATGATATAATATTTAATTTAGGTAATTAGTACTTTGAAGTCTCTTTGCAATGAATGAGTATATAAATAATATGTTATACTATTTCGATCTTTTATCCCGGAAGATAACAAGAGATATTACATCTGTTCCATCTGTCTATACATATTTACTTGATCGGCATAATTGATATTAATATAATTTAGCTTTCAATCACACTGTCCGTCCGATTCGTATTCATATAGAGAATTGAAACTTTGCCTAACTATTCTTTACTTGATATGAAATGTGAATGCAATCTGCTTATGGGGCTCACACAATAATGCGAAATTTCGAAAACATATTACTCTAAGAATGTCGATAGCAATTTAATATTGATGGGGAAATATGATCTTAATCGGGCAATTTGAATAATAAAAATATTTACATAGTGGGCGGTTGGGTATAGGTAATTCGTCTTAAGGTATATTAAATTATTGTTTATTTTTTTTCTTTTTTTTTTTTGCTTTGCATTTCCTTCTCCTATTAAATTGATTTATATTTAAATGCTGTTTCAGCTTATGTGTGCGCATTCAATTAATATACTTAGTAGATTTCTTCTTACCGGTGTTAGTAATGAATGTAATAATGCCATAATAATAAACTGCGAAGTGTATGTACTTAAATAGGTATATATATATATATATATATATATATATATATACA